GTACACAAAATATATTACTACTATTCTTTTTCAACAAAAAATATTTTCGGATTCAAATTATTTGTAATATTTTAAAATATTTTTTTAAGAAAAAATTAGTTTGACGGAGATTTGACTCTTTTACCCTTAATTATGTCATAGGATGTAGTCTCTCTTTGTTGATTATTTATTCTATTTGTTTGTTATTAATTGCTTCGTTAGACGAAGTGAATACTATATCTTTTTTAATTTTTGTGGCGCATTTTATTTATATTCTTCAATTTTGGGTGTGCATAAGTAGATACTTAAACTTATATAAAGTTGAACAATAAACTCACGTGTCCTACATGTCATCCTACATGTCATTTTTTGTCCTACGTGTATTTTGTCATGTAGGGCTCATGTGTTTATTTACTTAAAAGTTGGATAGTTAAAGTGTCTGTTTGTATATTATGAAAGTTGGAGGCCAAAGTTAAAATTTAAAGACAAGTTTATAGTCCAATATATGTATTATGCCTTTTTAATATTCGGAAATAATTTCACTTAACAATCATCGAACATTGACACCCACAACTCAAAAAAGGCTTGATGGTGTACTTAGTTATAACTTAAAAGCTTAGTTATTTACCTATAGAAACAAAAGGATCAATTCCCATTTTGTTCTTCTCGTTTCTTCAGCAATATTATAGAAATTCTGGCTATAATATTCTTAATGGAAAAAGGACGAATATACTCCAGAACTATCGTAAATGGTACAAAGATATCCTCCGTTATACTTTTGAGACAGTGGGGTCCCTACCGTTTATAAAACTAAAGCATATATACCCTTTATACTAACAAACATACACGTGTCATAATCTTATCCACCGGCCCGACATTTATTAAATATCGAATCGATAGATAAGATTGTACCACGTGTCTCTATTTAGTTTTCCGTTAAAGTGAAGGGCATATATGCTCTAGTTTTTTGATGACAGGTGCCGGGCACCAATACCTCAAAAGTATGACGGAAGTATCTGCATACAATAGTTCAGGGGTACATTTATTCTTTTTCCTTATTCTTAATGAAACGATGTATAGCCAAACAAATATCTAAAACAAACTAAAGGGAAAAAAGTATGTAATTTCAAGTTGCATATCACATATACTTTAGCTGAAAAGATCACTTGTAAATTTTCATTTTTTCAGTTAGGAATGGCAAGTGCACTAGAAACACTATGTGGACAAGCATATGGAGCAAAGCAATACAAGAAAATTGGAACACAAACATACACAGCTATCTTCTCTCTATTTATAGTTTGCATTCCCCTCTCCATGTTATGGATATACATAGGACGATTACTCGTATTCATCGGACAAGATCCTCATATCTCACATGAAGCTGGAAGATTCATAATGTGTTTAATCCCAACTCTCTTTGGCACTGCAGCTCTTCAGCCCCTCGTTCGATATTACCTAATGCAAAGTATGATCCTTCCTTTAATCATAAGTTCATGCGTGACGATAGCTATTCATGTACCACTGTGTTGGTTACTAGTTTATCACACTAGCTTCAAGAATATTGGGGCTGCATTCGCAATGGACATATCCATTTGGTTAAATGTCACAATTCTCGCGTCATACATGAGGTTTTCCTCTGCTTGTGAGAAAACTCGCGTGCCTATTTCATTAGAGATTCTCTATGGAACGAAAGAGTTCTTTCGTTTTGCTATCCCTTCAGCTGTCATGATATGGTATGTTTCACTAGTTACTAAAAAAACTTATAAACTGTGAATTACATGGAGATTTTCCTGAGAATTAGTATGAAAATTTGCAGGAAAATAAGTTTCCAGCGAATTTTCACACTAATCCCCCATGTAATTTACAGTTCTCTTGTAATTATTGACTTGCTAGATAATTGTATAATATATGTTTTGTATAGTCTTGAAGGATGGTCATTCGAGTTCATTGTGTTGTTATCGGGGCTATTGCCAAATCCTGAGCTTGAAACTTCAGTGTTGTCTGTATGGTAAGTTTATCGATCTCTCTCTATAACAGTTTAAGCTTTTAGATGAGACAGTCACGGTTCTCTCTGACTTTCTCTTCTTGTGACATTCTGTTTTACAGCCTTAACACTATTGCTACACTTTATTCAATTCCATATGGTCTATCTAGTGCTGTAAGGTAATACCAAAATTCAACTTATGTTCTATTTGAGGATTTGAGGTTCTAAGTTCTAACGTCTCGTTTAACTATCAGCACGAGAGTTTCAAACGAGCTAGGAGCTGGAAATCCACAGAGAGCGCGTATTTCTGTTTTCACAGTGATGCTCCTTACAGTAATGGAAGCTATACTAATAAGTGCGACTCTATTTGGTTTTCGAAACATTTTTGGTTTCATTTACAGTAGTGAGATGGAAGTTGTGAACTATGTTGCAAAGATTGCTCCTCTTCTTTCATTATCTGTCATAATGGATGCCTTACAAGCTTCTCTTTCAGGTTAGACATTGTACTAATCTACTCTCTATGTAGTACTTATAATTCTCTCTCTACTGAGCGATTCACGTATCAGTTTTGAGTAGTAGTATGAAATTTTAAGAGAAAATGTTATGATGAGGGTCGAGTAGAAGAAGGGGTACTTGAACAGATGATCATCTCAGACTAGTAAAGATCGAAATTGAGTTAGTGCAATTTTTTATATATATAATATATTGTCAAACTAGTGAAGATCGAATTGAGTTAGTGTGATTTTCTATATATATAATATATTGTCAGACTAGTGAAGATCGAAATTGAGTTAGTGCAATTTTTTTATATATATATAATATATTTGTCAATATGAATTGATTCTTTTTTTTTTTGTAGGTGTTGCTAGAGGGTGTGGTTGGCAACATATTGGAGCCTATGTCAATCTTGCTTCATTTTACCTATTTGGAATTCCTATAGCTATTTTATTAGGTTTTTGGTTAGAACTTAGGGGAAAAGGTCTATGGATTGGCATATTATGTGGTGCAACACTTCAAACTATTCTCCTTTCTATCATAACAAGCTTCACTAATTGGAAAAAACAGGTACTTTCGACCATTCGTCAAAAAATTATTCTGTATATATAGGTCAAATCGTGTACATTCTTGACGAAAAATTGCTTTAAGTCTTGTGTGTTGATTTGATTTAACAGGCAGAAATGGCAAAGGAGAGGCTTCTTGAGGTAAAATGAGTCAACAACAACATGATGGGGTAAAAAAGATTATATATATATATAAAACAAAAAGAGCTCCATTTTGCCTCAATTTTGACAATTTATGTTTTGGAGATTGTACCTAATATTTGTTGTATGACCTTCTACAACTAATATGATTAATCATATCTTTATAGAGTGTAATTTATAATTTATTTTGTTTGTATAATCACAAAAAATGTGTCAAGTAATACATTTTTTAATGTAGATTTTATATATAGATGTTGTGTAGTCACTAAATTTCATTATTGAAGAGTGAGATTTTTTAAAGATTGGTATGGGATTTGGCTTTTTTGTTTGTATACTCACCAATTTGCACATGACAAGTATAATATGTATTGGCCTCATTTATGTTAGGTTCTACTTAAATGTGCTCATCCACTACTCAATTTGAGTATTTAATTATTAGGGTTTGTAATTTGAATTTCATAAGTCCATACCTTTTTTTTTTTCGTGAACACAAAAATCTCACGTGTTATGAAAATTATTGAAATGAATTTAATTCTTTTATAATCTAAATTCTTGTTAAATGCGCAAATCATAGTTCACAAACAGGATATTAGAATGTCCTAACGCTTGATTAATCATAGCACTATGTTCTTTTTTTATAAAGAAATATCTGCGGTTACAGATTTTCAGATATACATAATTTCATAATGTTTCACTAGTCAACAATAGTAGTAAATAGTTTGCTTTTTTTTAAACTAAATATAAACCTGTAACTCAAGTTTTACCTTTGATATTTTTTTGTAATTCATACTTTTTGGAATATAAGATTTGAAATCAATCACATTTCTTGCATACTCCTATGTGTTAAAAAATTCAAAAAGATTATAAATAAATAATAAATTCCAAATCTAGATATTAATTCTTGATATCACAATCTTAGAATTTTGGCCTACAAAAATAAATTGTCCAATGGAAGAATCAAGGAGGAGTTGTTCTCTTATCTTTTCAATTTGCTGCTCAATAGTATCTATCATGTTCATCCTCTAGATGTATCGTCAACGATAATAATATATTCAGTATAATTTTATAAGTTAGATCAGATAAAAGATATGCATAGACTATATTCTTATTCTCATAAAGTAGAAAGATAATTTTCGATAAATTATCAACTTAATTCTAGATATTATCTAAACTATATTTATATTCTTATAAGATAGAAAAACATTTTCTAACAGACAATATATCAACTTAATTCTAGATGCATCACCGATGATAATAACATATTAACTATAATTTTATAAGTTAGATCGGATGAAAGTAAAATATACGTAGTTTATATTTGTATTCCGCTAAGGCAGAAAGATAATTTTCAAAAGACTGCATTACTAATGATAATAACATACTCATTACAATTTTATAAGTTAGATCAGATGAAAGATATGCATAAACTATATTCGTATTCTCATAAAGTAGAAAGATAATTTTCGATAAAGTATCAACTTAACTCTAGATGAATCCCACCAACAAAAATAACATACTCACTATAATTTTATAAATTAAATCACGTGAAAGTAAATATACATAGATTATATTTGTATTCCTATAAAATAGAAAAATTATTTTCGATAGACCGTCGAGAATCTCAAGTGGCAATGATATGGGAGTTAGTTAGTGACAATATTGTTCACATGACTAAGAGTAAATGGTGAAGCAGAGACTATTCATTGAATTGGTTGAGTTAAATTCATCATGAACCCATCACCCACATGGTCATAAAACACCAAAGCAATTATTGACATGATTAAAAAAGAGATTCCATTGCCTTTTACTAGGAGGTGCTTTTTTTTTTTAATTCAGTGTTCGGAGTTTATATTGAAGTCTCGATAAAATTTGAATAAAGCTAACTTGAGGGTAACGCTCTCGACAGGGTTTTCTTCACACTCAAAGCTTGAACCGAATACCTCTGATTATTAATATTGTTCAAGATTTGCTTAGTCATGACTTCATTTACCTTTTTTTTCATTGCATCATTTGATATTTTTTTTTTCTTGATGAGATTATATGTAATATTCTACCTATTTTAATGTATTTCATTGTTGTTAAATAAATTTAAAGTGAGGTGTCAAAAAGTATATGTTATTTGTGGATGATATAGTCCGATTAATGAGATTTGTGATGGAGCTAACGTCAAGTGGGAAGTTTTGAAACAAACCCTGTAGTTTAAAGGGTTCAAGTAGAGCAAAAGAATACTTGAAGTGCAAGTTTTTAGTGACGTAATACATAAGACGGGTGTAAAATTGAAACTTGATACACAAGTCATTTAAAAGAGCGAAAGTTTCAAGTATTTCGAATCTATTATCAAAATGATAAATGAGGACGTCACTCACCATATTGGTGTAGAATGAATGAAACTGAGACACGAGACACGCATCTGGAGTCCCGTGTGATAAAAAAGTGTCATTAACGCAAGTTCTGCATAGCACAATTATGTTGTATGGGAATAAGCGTTGATCACTCAAGAACTTTCACGTTCAAAACTTGAGAATTGCAAAAATGAGGATGTTGCAATAGATGTGAGGGAGAGAGATTAAAAATAAGGATATTTGTGACAAGATGGAAGCGACTTCGATGGAGGACAAAATGTGAGAAATGAGGTTGAGATGGTCCCAATATATTTCGAATCCCGCAAGGTGGAGGTGTAAGAGGTTGACTTTCTATAGGTAGTTCCTCAAAAGGCAAAGGATAAATCAAAAGAATACTGAATAGAGGTGATTAGATTGGACATGATGCAGTCTCAACTTACCGAAGACATAACTTCAGATAGGAGATATGGAGGACACAGATTAGGGTAGGAGCAAAATCCGTCCTCACTACTACCTGTAGTACTGCTCCTATAATTTCTTGTCCTTCGATTTCTGTTGCTATCTACCGTTTCATAGACGGTGGTATTGTTTCTCAAATCAACCACAAGAAGAATAAATAGTGAGTGCACTCCCCTTATGGTAGACTAGAGCTATGTTAGCTTGAAAACCACTAATACCAACATCATCTACTTTCAAAGATGCTATATCATACCTCATGCATGAAAACTATGTTTCAACTCTCTCTGTTCCACATTATCTGGTCAAGAGACAGTTCTCAGAAACTTGTACCACCGATAGACTCGATGATCTTCAAGAGAAAAATAGCCCTGGAGGGGGAAATGAGGTAAGAAGTGGAGGAAGAAAGAGATAAAACTCTACTCGTAAGCATGCTTTACGAGCCCTACATCCTCACATACAAAGTAGACACATATAAAGTCCAACTGCAATGAGGAGAGGGTAAATTTTGAGTACCTGGAGATAGAGCTGAAATTGCAAAACTTTCAAGTTTCGACATACATTCCGTAAAAAAATTATTTAGGAAAGAGACTGCAAACTGAGGCAGCACAAACAAGGCAATCTACCAACCTGTGACCTAGTGATAAAGAATTGTGGTTCACTACATTTTCAACTATAATACCTAAACTAGGAAGAAAACATGTACAGTTAAAAGGTAATTGGTATGTACAAGAGGGTTGGTTACCCGAAATAACACAAAGGAATAAAGAATGGAGTTACTGCAGAAACTCATTGCTGTTTTTTCCTCATTGTACGATGTAATTGCCATGACCATGCAGCCAAACATAACACAAGGCCAACACCGGTGCATGTCCAGAAAATTACTAACCAATTGGGCATGGGGTCAGGAAACAATCCTGAAGTATAGCAGAAAAAGATGAGATTAACTGTTAATACACAGATTGATAAGACATGCCAACATGAGAACTGAGAAATGAGTGGAGTACTGACCATGTCCGAACTTGACGCAGATTAGGAGTTCAACAATGCAAATAGCTAGTGAAAGCCAGCAATATGCTCCCACCTTTTTAACTGGTGTCCTGTGTATAATTGTGGAGTATTGGGGAAAAGTGAGGTCGCGTAAAAAAAAAAAGAATTTGGGCAATGAAAGAAAAATATAGTGCAATTTATAATTCTTGTAATGAAATAGGCAGGACATACCTGTCCTGTAGGTAACTGTTGTACTCCCGAATTGTTGGTATCGCAAGTAGCCACCACAAAACCAACCTATACACTATCAGAGGGTTTCTAGGAGGAATCCAAAGACAGAACTTCAAGAAGAATGTATTCAATTCCACAGTCAAGAAAATAACACAGAGAGTGAGAACTTGAAGGAATCGCCAGGGACCAAGGAGGGGTCGCCATTCATCTTTATCCCAATGTGCAGGTGTAAATTGGCCAAGTGTTCGCTTGACCTACAAAACCCAAAAGAAGATAAAAATGTCGAACAATAAACTGTTCATATGACTGTCAAACTATAACTTTCACATTCTTCCTAGGTTTCAAAATCTGTAGTGCTGAAGTTAAATATAGAAAATGCCAGAAGAGAGATTTAGTTTACAAACACAGACTCCACCAGTGGCCCTTCGTCGAAAAATTACGTTGTGTAGCTAGAATTAAAATATTTTTTATGTATATTTATATTACATATTGACACTCCTTGACTTCTACACGATTTTATTTCTTTATATTTTGACACCCCTTAGACCAAATTCTAGCTCCGCCACTGGACTCCACAATAACAAACTCAGATACTCTCTAGTGTCAGGGTTGTGCCAGAAGCTACAAGTACCCAACTAAAATTACTAGCACAGTTATGTCAAGATCATCCAATCAACTACTACATCTCAGATCCAAACTATTTGGTGAATGAATTAGAAGTCCAGAACATAGAGTAACTGGATGAGGCATTGTCGCAGATATTGATCCAGAATCTAACTAAAAGAATTTGAAAGCTCAAGGACAGCTCAATATGCGCATAACATCTTGCAGAGAGGTACACAATAAAATTCAATCCTGTTTGTGTGGAGGTTTAGTGTAGTCATAACTATATCTCACTCAAGATATTCTATGCAGTATGATTAAATAATGACCAATAATTAGGATTTCATGATTCCCCACTGGTTTGAGAAAGATGGACACATAAAGCAAACACCTGATAACGACAGACTTTCCTGGAATAATTTGTATTCTACCTCACAATAATCACCTATCCTAGAAGGTGATATATTTCCATTATATCAGTAGTTAACAATCAGGGCTGATTCCCGCAGGAATAAAGCAGGATAATTAGAGGGTGAAGAGGCTATCAGCAACAGCAATTTCTATCAAACTGAATGTAAACATCTCTCAACCATTTGACCCTTTTACAAACAGAAATGAACAGCAGCAAATAACTTTCACAACTAGTTGCAATTACGGAGTTCAACTCCACATGAGACATTTATCAACAAACTACTCACATGTTGCGGCATTACCATGTCTCCACACAACAAAAATTAAATATATAATGTCAATTATCTTTATGTGTAGAGAAAGAAGAACATGCAAACAAGAAAACCCAATAACAGCCAAACCAGATAGACTATTAAAATCAATGTATACAGTTGAAGAGACAGACCTTGCCCATAATATTTGGCTGCCGGCTTATACCAACCCACTCATATGTTCTTCCATCAAAATATCGAACAGTACGCATTCCAGCCAAGATGCCTAAAGGAAACCAAAAAAGTAAAGAACAAGACAAGAAAACATAAGACATTCCATAGATAGATAGCTATGCAGAGAAAAAAGTAAATAATTCTTGTAGTTTTGCTTAACATGCAAGAATCATATTGATTCATGTTAGTATGACAACATCTACGAAGCCTGGACACCATCAACTGGCATCTCAATTTTTTTAAAAATTATTTCTCTCAAATCTTCAGATTGGTTTCTGAAATTTGGCTAACATAAAAGACACCAGATGTGCCAATTGATCCCTAATTCAAACATGATCCATAATATAATCATCAAAGTAAATTATTTTAATGGCATCATTGTTCGGATGTAACTTGATCTTTAATGGCTTGTTTGTATAGCTATCAACGTTTCTGATAGTATATATGTTTTTTTACTACACTACACAGTACACACACACACAACACATGTATAATATGTTATCTACAACAATACACACACAACAACACAAGCATACTTTGTAATATACAACACTGGCACACACAACACATGTATATACAACACTGGCACACACAACACATGTACAGTTAAATTTAAATCACCCCTAAATTGAGTCATGTTCCAAATACTTCCAGAACTTCTGTTATAGTAGATACCCACTTCCATCTCATACCAAACATACATTTCCATGAACTATCCCTAAACTGATTGTAGATGAAGTAATGGCAAGACTTTTACCTCATCTTGGAAACTATCCCTAAACTGATTCATGTCCTAAAAAATTTGGAACTTTCATATAGTAGATGTCCACCTCCATCTCATTCCCGGCACTGGAATCTATGTCCACGAAACATTCACTAACATAACATCTTTCCTAATATAGAGATCATTCACAATGCCATTACATTGGTGATCTTTTCTAAGCAACAGTAATTCATTATCATCTTCTATTAAACTAACTTTGATCCAAGTACCAATTTGAACTTATGACCCACGACGTAGTTATGTGCAAGAAAAGGACTCCATACACGTGCTAATATAGTTATTTAGCTCAGCCATCATATTTTGCTTTGCCTCAGATAAGACACAGGAGCACTCTAGGAAACAATGTGAAATGCGCCTTCTCATGACTATTCATCTACCAACCAAAGTCTCATGACCACATTATGCTAACTATTTTTACTGCAGTGAGTACCAGAGTCGTGTACCTTAAATATCCTTTGTTGGCCAAAGACCAGTTAAGATACGCTAAACCAGAAGCTGCATAGATGCCTCGACAACGAACAAACAGATAAAGACTTAACAAATCACCTGCTAGCTTGATGCACAAAATTAGGCTTTCTTCACCATAATAACCTTTTTCATTGCAGCCAGAGCTGCAGAATAAAATTAAACCTCTTCCAGTGGAGAAACCACCCACCTCTCCATCAACTCTCATTTTTTCATAATATCACTCCTCCACATTTGACCTACGCCCATTACAAGCTGCCTTTAAATTCTGAGGAGATATCAACAATGGACAAACCATTTCAGTTTCTACCATTTTGGCCTAGTAGAATATCAGACTTAATACTGACAGCCTTCCAAATTAGGGAGGAAGAATGAGACGGAGATAGGTGAATGTAGAAAGAGTTGCAGGATCCAAACATTGCAGAATCAACCGAGTTTCATACAACCGAAAAATAGTGGGAGGGGAAGGGGGCAATATGGAACATGTGCTGATAGACTTCAACAATCTAAAGGTACTTCATACACTTTGGCAAAATTAGCCCCAAAAATGGAACCACTGCAAATAGAAGCGTAAGTGCATAATTAATCCCCAGTGATTTGGTATAAGAGGGTGGAATTGAAGCACCAAACAAATAGAGCATCACGCTATGTTAATGTATGTAACAATATAGTGGAGTGATAAATACTCATCAGATAAATAATGGAGCATATGAAATAAATTGACATAAGCATGTCAAAATATGTCTATATCATAAATACCCAAGAAAATGGCTTAAAGTTTCTCACCAAACCAGTTGCAAATGAATATATCCAGAATAATGCTGTCCCACCAGCACTCATTAAAGTTTGGTAACATGTGGCGGAAAGTAAGCTGAAACATAGCAGTGTAAAGATAAGTTATAACAGATGAAATTATCAGCTAACCACTTGCCTAAAATGGTTATATCTAAAAATTATTGGCTGCTGCTTAAAGCACTTGAAAGAAGCCATAAAGGATCTGACCTCCATCAACTCAAACCCAATGGATAAGACCCACAAAAGAGGCTGATTACGTATCATGATGGCCTTGCCCCACCACCCTAAGATATGAGCCAGAACGAACTCATCGAACAATGTGTCCTACAAAGCAATACACCACTCAGAGAGATCTCAAAGACCAAATTATTACTAAAGCAATTCTCAATTGATAATGAAAGACAAAAATCATAAAGAAAATAAATTGAAGAGGTAAAAAGAGGAAAAAGTCTTACATAAAGATTCTTAAACCTGTTTGTGGGATTTTCAGGTACATAGAGTCTGCAATCAGCACCATAAGATTTTTCAGGAAGTTCTGCATAGCAAGACAAATCGGTCTTAGTTATGCTACAAAGCAAAACATATGAACAGAAAGGACCTGCATGAACGAACCACGGAAAATTTCTAGAAGGAGTAGATCAAAATCCTTACCAATGCCAAGATCAGGATGAAGAAATGTCATAAACTGGCGAGCATCATCGCGCCTCTGAGAAAATAAAGGAACAGAGTTTTCATATTCAGAATATAATTTAATGGCTGCAATAACACATGAACAAATATCAAAAGAAAACACAGATGTAAGAAACTATAGCTACTGGTTCATTAACATGAAGGTAAGAAAACACAACTCTTCTAACCAACCCACCTGAAAAAGTAGAAATGTCAAAGCAACAAGATAAATCACAGCCATTCCATGAACCAGGCGCCAAATCGCAGGATGTGGTCTAATAAGTACCCTGTATGAAAGAACTAAAGTATTAAGTGGGTAAAATACTATTGCCACAAACACCACATAAGTTAACAAGGAGGAAAAAAGGTGAATTGTCAACACATTCAAAGCCAGAGGAAATTTAAAATTCGAGTTTAGCTTATAATTAACTGGTTAAAAACTTCCAACTTCATTTTCAGAGAATGAAATGCATATTTAAGGACACGACTTCCTGACTCGACTAATTGAGGAAGTGAGTAAAAGCAACTCCGTAGAAAATCCTGTAAAAATGAGTAGAGAATATCACCTACTTCTGTATCTGAATTTGCTGGAATAAATCCTTACTGCTCACATAGTGAACAATATACAGACATTTATGCCAGTAACCACAAACTCCTTTAACACCCAAATTCTAACACAAAAATACACAAAAACATGAAATTGTTCATTTTAGACAAACAAATTGTGGAAACAACTTACGTTGAAGGGGCTTGCAGCAAAGAGTAGGCAAGATAAACAGCAACCATTGCCAAAATTCCCCTAACAGACGAGAAACAAAATAATTACATCAATTTCTTATGCATAATTAAAAAAATGATTGGATAAAAAACATGCTTAAAATGTACACCTTTTCACAGAAGTAGTAACATCACTGGAGGAAGTACTTTGCGGTTCAAGAGCTCCACTTGCCCAGCTACAATAGTGATAACATAAGCAAGTCAAAACATACAAACATTAACTTCATGTCCAACACAAAATCACATTAGCTTTTTAACAATTTTGCAAAATTTAGGAAAAAGTGAACAAGAAAGGGACAGGATTCATAGACAAAGTGTGTTACATGCTTTGGCTGCAACTCAATAGGACTCAATAAAACCTCAGAGCAAGAAGTATGGGTAAGGTTTAATTTTTCCACAATTTTGGTAAATAAAGAGAGTTAAATATGCAAACACAACCTTCTAGTTTCCTCAAAGAAGGGAGAATTGCCAAATGGCACTTATCAAAGAAATGGAAAAAGTTGATAGTTTTTTTCGTTTGTTTTTGACTTGTCATATGCTGTGCTCAGGAGGTCAGGTTGATTTAAGTACCAAGAACTACACTAAAAGAAGTAGAAATAAACAACAGTGTCAATAAAGTGAACAGACCCCTGAAATTTGGACTTACGGAATGAAAATTGGCAATCAGAATTCAGAAACCAAGGACAACCAGAAGATGACTCAACTAGTCAACTATATCCACTATGAATCTTTTTATGAAGAACTTGACAAGACTTAGCCAGATATTAAAGTCAATTGTTGTTATTGAGAAACAATGAGACCCCAGGTTCCATTTTCTATACAAACTTCAAGCTCAATACTGATGTATAATTATGAAGAATGAGCGGAACGCCAAAAAGGTAAGTGGGTCAGTAACAGAAGCACCAATACAAAGAAAAATAATTGCATGGCTACCGACACATCTTAGGGAATTCAAACTGCAAGAAAAGCAGGTAGTAAGTGTGGAAAATATGGAGGATTAATACTACTAGATCCTACGTAAGATCATAAGGAAGAAGTTCTGGAGGGCAAGATAGCTATTCCTGCGGAACAGTAATAATCGCATTATTAGCAGAAATTTGGATCAACTAACTGCATATAAGTTTTGTTTGTCACAGACATGTTACCCTCAAAATTCATTTGATCAGGGGACTCTTTCTTATGGATTATAAGTGCTCTGGTCCAGACATATGGGGGGGTTTGGAGAGCAGGACTGCTAGTACATGGTTTGCCTTTCTTCAATCATTTCTTTGTTTCTCCTTCATAGATGAAAGAATTAAGACAACGAATCCAGATTGAGAGGTGAAATCCAGGAACATAAGTGGTTGCATTTCCATTTCATGAGAAATTATACGCTCCAAAAGCAAGCCCTCAGATAAGAGGATAGAAAATAAATAAACATAAAAATTTTATTGTTCAATTTCTTGCTGCATTATTATGTTGAAAAAAAAAGAGACACGGCATGCAGATAATTAAACTTGATGAAACAGGATTCAAGATGGACCTTAGGGAGAACCAGCAAAGACTAAGCAAAAATTAGAAAACTTTCAAGAGCTTCATTGAAGTCTGAAAAAGTAGCCACAAGAAAGAACTAATACCTATATTTATAAACAATGGCTTATAAAGCCTGTTAACTAAGCAACTTACATGAGGAAACATGCACCAATAAGCAACAATGTAATAGTACGAGGTTTGTATGCCCAAGCGGTCCATGGATCCAGCTCCTCATCTATATTCAGCGGGCTATGATTACCATTTTGAATGGTAACAAGATTCCTTTTGTTACTCTTTCTGTAACCATTAGATTCCATATGCCTGGCCTCACAAATTTCAACTCCTTCAGCCCGTTCACTGCACACAAAAGAGAAATCATTCCAGGATTAATGTCAATGTAGAAGAGTCCAGGTGCAGATAATGGGGAAGACAACAACATAGCAATAAACATCACGCACAAAGGGCACCCTATTGAGCTAAAGCCCGTATCTATTTAATGCAGCGCCAAGTAATACCTTTCTAGACAATTACACAATCCATAATACGTAGACTTAACAAACAAAGGCAAGAAAAAAAGTGATTGGAAGAGGCAAAAAACTGAGGGCAAAAGGAATCTCAAAGAACACAACAAATTAAAGATAAGAATCTAAACAATTTTGCATCTACCCAAATTTGATTAGTATAATAAAAACTACATTAGATGTCCACCCAAACAAAGGGGGAAAAATGAAAATGGAACCTTCTGTTCCTATATCCTGCCTCTAAAAAGGAAGAAGCATAAAAATTAATCAGCAACCTCAAAATTAACGTAAATATTTAATTTTTTTTGTTATGTGAGTCCTTTTCTTCAGCTTCTCAGTAACAAAAATCTTCAATAAAACAAGAATGGACTTAATGTAATCCATACAGATAACAGCAAATAAGCAAATGCAACACCACCACCACCACCCACCCACAAAGCACAATACTTCAGTTTAATACAATAATCACAAGAAATAATGAAAGTGGCTATTACAGAAACGTCATAATCATAGCAGCAGCAAATCACTAATGTAAACAACTGTATACAGTAAAGATATAGCACATGGGCCTAACAACTAGCCGACGACTCCATAAGTAAATTGTTCACTGAAACCACTCACAATTATTATCAATTTAATAATTTCAATCTACTCTAATAAAATTCGACACTTTTAGCCAACACTTACAACACAAAACTCCCTTGCAACAGAAAGATAGCAACTCAGAACTTAGTAAAGTAATGCTAGAGGATGTCCAGATAGCAATAGAAAATCACAAATTGATGAAAATAACAATCACCCAAAATTCAACAATCTCTCACAAAGTAACATAAAAGGGTGCATGCCAATCACAACTTCCAAAAAATGGCAACAAATATTTTAATGCAATAGCTAAACTAAGATAAACCCAATATACAGATACAGCAATAAATACCAACAAATACATGCATTAGTAATTTCTCCCCACTCGTCCTAGCCGCCTTCGTTGACAAAGTTACCCGATACCTATTGTCGTTGAGGTGCACAAAAGCTGGTCAGCCACCACAGTTATCAAAAAATATATATACAGACACTCTGTGTCACAAAAAAAAAATTCAATCTTTGACTACAACTTCGTCAAATATTTCGTACACATTCATAAAGCTTCAACATTTAATTCAACTAATCAATACCCATAATTCATATTTGGGAATAAAAGTACAAACTAATTAAAAACAGTTGAAATCTTACGCAGACAAATCCTTTTAGTCGAACGATTGAATAAGCAGATGAATTATGGCCGTTGGATCAAACAAATGGGAGATGGGTTTTGTAGTTAATTGATGAATTAATAGAGATATGGACGAATAATGAAGAAACAATACATACATATAGATGTATAGATATATAGATATATATATATATATAGATAGAGAGAGAAATCAACAAGCAAACCGAAAAGATAACTGGGTTTCTCTCTTTCTCTCTAAAAAGGTGAAGAAGAAGAAAGAGAGAGGGCTTTTTGGAGTTGTTCACAGCGGCAAAAAGGCGGTGAGAGAGAAAACAGAGAGAAAGTACAATGGTGGTCAATGGCAGATTTTCAGTATTGGTTTTTTTCGTACAATAGAAATTCTAACTCATTTGTACGCACATTTTATTTTTTTTAGAGTTACGGTCAAAAATACATCCAAACTATTTTATTTTATCGAGTTATGTATTTAAATTATTGAGAGCGTAAGTTTTCTATTAGAACTATTCTTTAATAATTATCGAAACAATTAGATCATATGTTTGTCTAAAAACGCTTATATACATGTATAATGATTTTATTTTCTGACTCAATAAAATTGACTTTTCTAAAATCTTTAACTCTCTCCCTCTTTCGAGTCGAAGATACCAATGTCATGTTGAAGACGAAATCACGACTAAGAAGGTGGAGAAGAAGATGGTGGATGTCATGATCGGAATAAGTTAATTTATAAGGACATAGTTTTAACTTTTAACACTCCCTTCGTCCCCTTTTAGAGCCTGTTTGGCTCAGCTTAAAAACTGGTCACTGACTTAAAAGTTGGTTTTTGATTTATTTAACTGTTTGGCAATACTCAAAATAACTTATTTTAAGCTAAAAAAAACTTATTTTAAGCCAAAAGTTAAAAGTTGGGTTAGGGGTGCTTTTTTTTTAAGCTTATAAGCTGTTTTAAGTTGACCACATTTTTATCTTTTTACCCTTAATATTTTTATACAATCTCAAATTACTCATATAACCCTAACATTTCTTTCTTTCATTTTTCCCTTTTCACGTTTGACATAGCAACTTCAGCACTTCTATCCAAACGCATAACTGCTTATTTTAAAAATAAGTTTCAGCACTTTCAAAAGTACTTTTTTAAAGCTGCTTTTATTAAGCCCATCCAAACGGGCCCTTAGTTGTTATGTTGTGTTTTTCGAAAGTCAATTTGATTAATTTTTCAAAGTTGAATTTGATATATCAATTCAATTTTTAAATTAAAAACTTAGATGTTCGAAAAACTATACAAAAAATATTGTGAATCGCAATTTTTTTCTGCATATCAATATGATTAAAAAAATTCACCGTGAAATTTTAGTCAAAATTTTTATCGTTTAATTCTAACAATGGAAATAATGACATCTAAAAGGAGATGGAGCGAGTATTAGCTTATTTAGATTTGACACGTGGAATTATTATTCGACTTGGCAGAAATTTTAAACAGAAGAGAGAGCATAATATGTAAGCTTATTGCCAAATGTCTCTTCTATTACGAAGATCGCCCGATCGTGAAGCTTATACAAAAGATATTTTTTAATTGTGAAACTTAGATGTTGAAGCAGTACCTCAATCACCCTACCTGTATGAATTGAACGAACTTCAATATACAACCAACTTAAGAATTTAGTTGAAACGTATGTTGCTAAATATTGCGTGATAATTCGAATAAAAACTCATATTCTCAATAGTTCAAATATGAAACACAAAAAATTAATAAATTAAAGTAATATTATATAAAAGTTAAAAATAAAATTCATTCATATGGACTTGTCCGTATGTCCATTGCCAAAACAAACAAAAATAGGCTAAGATTAGTTTTATAATTTTGATTAGTATTTCTGTGTCATTAATTATATATCCTTTTTTTTTGTTCGGTATTAAGAATTCATGCGAAAGTTTTGATTAAATTTAAAATGCACTCTGTAAAGCCTATTCGAAAGTCGTGTTTCCATATTCAAAACTCAAACCTAAAACCTCTAAATAAAGATAAAGCACTCTCATCAATACACCATAACCCACGTTGATTATTAAATATATATCCTTAATTAACAATAAAATTTAAAAAATTTATTAAAATAACAACAAATAATATAATAAACACGCAATAATATAAAAATAAGATATCTTGACCCAGGTTCACAAAGATTTAAAGCTTTTGCAACCCCTTGATCATTACACCAATTCTTTACCACTAGTCAAAAAGTATCAAAATTCAATGATTAAGCTAGTAATTTTTCGACGAATGAAATTTCACTTGATATTCTATCGATTAAAAACAATTCTGATACTATCTTTAATCATCTTAGAGTAAATTTCAATAACTCCTCTAGCTAGCCTTTGAATATCTCTAATAAACCTCTCTCGAGACTTTATTATAAATATTTTTCAAATTAATATAAATTATTATTTTGATAAACGACTGTACACGTAAAATTTTCTTTTTTTAAGATAGAAAGTTGGGTAGAATAGGGACAAAAGCAAATAAATGAAGTATTAAAAGCTTATATCTTTTTGTACATTTGATAAAAAGAAAGATTCCAAACAGAAAGAGACAATATCTTATTCGTCAACTCACTGCTCAAGTGTTATCATCAATAATTGTTTTCGTGTTCATTTAAAATACTTTCATAGAGTCTCATTATTAATTTTATAATTGAAAATAAAAGGGCCTACCTAATTACTCAATCCGTTCAGAATTATTTGTCATATTATATTTATCGAAAGTTAATTATTTGATATAATTATAAATTATATAAAATCATCAAATATAAAGATTTTTAAAAATAGAAAAAAATATATTGGTCAAGCTATACTATTAACTAATTTTTTCGTGAGGATTCTACGAAATGTTCAGTAGGATGTGATGACTAAATAAAAACGAAAAGAATACTAAATCACTTTAATGATCGTATAATGAGTTAAAATAATACTACATATTTTGAGACAGAGAAAGTCGTTAACATTAAATCAATCATGGTTAGATTCAAACAACCTCACCTTTGATATGATTATTTTCAAAATTTTATTTTCTAATTATTGAATCATAGTTTGTAATTTATATGCCTTTGGAATGATCCACAAACTTCACTTTCAATTATAAAGAGAAGAACATATAGTCATATAGATGAACGAATGATCGAGATATAATCGAGAATTGTTTCGTATGAGTTATAAGATATAATAATTTTTGGATAAAATGTATAATTATTTTATTATGTATTTGGTTGGAGATATTAGATAGTCATAGAATTATTTATTTTACCATATATATCATAATGATTGAATGATAAGTTATTCCAAAATAATTTATTTTGGAATAGTTAATCTTAGGATAACGTATTCTGAACCCAACGAAACGACCCCTTAACTATAGTCTATGATAGGGTTGTCGATTGGGAATATGTGATTATAAATGTGATCCTATTCTAACGTGGAATGATTATGTTATCGAGCTAGAATTTTCATTAGAAAATAATAAACAAAAAAGTTCAAGAAAAAACAGCATGATTTTGCCATAGATGTCACCTAGAACGCGTTGGCCTTGACATGAAGGTCAAACAAGTCGATATAATATTTGGACACTTATCGTAGACATATTTATCCTCTTAGAGATAGAAAATTTTTATTTTGTATACGCTCGTACAGAAGTAACATCAATTATCACAAAATAATAATGAAAATGTTGGTCCGCCTTTAATTCCTCACTAATAATTCTGAATGCACCTCAATCTCGAAAAGATGCTTATCGTACCCTATATAATTGTATGTCTTACTTAATGGTATTTCTTTTGATTTGATTGATAGAATTAGATGGACAATATAAACGATATAATAGATTTTTAAAATTTTAAAGCATTGAAAGACAACAAGGGTTGTGATGTAACTTATCCAGAGTTCTTAGGTTCAAGTTCTTCAAGGTACTGAGGAGACTTTTTAACGTAAATTTATTTTTTAATCGAATTTCAATATAATATCGATACGAATAATTTTTTTATTTTTATTTTTAAAAAAAGACAACAAGGAACAGACTTTCCCATGGCTGTCTCAAACTCATATGGTCAGATTCCATTCAACTCAACATTATTAACCTAATCTAACAGCTAGATAAAATGTCGAATTTCGAGGCATGTTTATTTTAATAATAAAAATTCCTTGTCCTAATCGAAAAGAAATAAAAAAATATAGTACTTATAACTATTTTTTTCGTTTTTAATTATTTGTTTACTTTTTCTTTTATCATTATTTCTAATTAAATATTTATTTTGATAAATCAAGAAAGAATAATCTTTTACGTATTATACTCTCAATTGAATGACCAATTACTTTGAAAAATGTAAAACTTTTCATCCATTTCATAATTAATAGGAGTAAAATAATAAACTTACTATGTTATTAATTATTTTCTTAATAGATACGTCAATTCAAAAGTAGACAACTAAAAAATGACGGAAAAAGTAAAATATTAAGTGTGTGTGTGGGGGGGGGGGTGTTACTTTTTCTATTTCTTAGTTATTGATAAAATTTTAATTTTAGTCTTTGTGAATTGTGATTTCAGATTGAGCACATTGAACTTTTTTATAATTGAATTTTGTGTAGCTATGATCTTTTGCTTGGAATATTTACAAATTTATAAATATTATTAATCATTTCATATGTTATGTTAAATTAGTTTTGACAATAATATAGTTCTATAATTAGTCAAATATAGCATATTTACTACATGAATAAGTTAAAAAAAATAGACATTTCTATATAATAATAATTATTATTACTAATCTCCCAAATAAACGCTGTCGTATAGGCTAATTATTTCTAACAGAATCTCATGTACTATATGCTAGCATTATTTGGAGAGTCATAATTATGTGCAATTAATTTAATTAACATTTTAGTCAGATTAGTCAAAAACTTACAATTGTTTAATTATGTGATCATATTACACGTCTATAAATATAAGCGAAACACTTCTATTTTTACATTTAGAAATAGAAACTCACTCTTATATTCTAGTCTTGTATTTATCTTTTTTTTATACTAAAATATGTCTAGAAAGAGGGCACGTTTGATCATTAGCGATATTGACGAGGAAAAGAGAAAAAAAATGCTAAATGAGAAATTAACATCACTTTGAATGAGTGTTTTTAAGTTTCAAAATTTGCTATTTTCTTATCATTAAGTTAATGATTAAAGGTCAATCATGTTAGAATCATAGGATTTAAAAAATATATCAATAATTTAAGGGTCAAAATACTAGTATCCCTTTATTTTATTTTATTACTATTTGGTACTCAAAATTCACAATAATTAAAATTCATGTCATAGAAAGTCTACTATGAGA